TGTGTGTGTGTGTGTGTGTGTGTGTGTGTGTGTGTGTGTGTGTGTGTGTGAGAGGGATGTCACCGAGCCCCCCCATCCTGCAGCCTAGAGCCCCTGTTGTTCCTCCAGCCCACCACCACCATCACCACCACCACAACAGAGGAGCTGAGAGGAGCTGAGAGGAGCAAGAACAATACATCCCACAAAATGAGCACCTGCACTTGCCCTGGTTTGAGGGTAGCTGAATTGTTTTCATCACTAAAGTACCAGAGCCTTGTTTTCAAAGCAAACTATAGCATACATTCATACATAGGTCTACATTCACCCAAATACAACTAGCATACGGATGTGGGGCACTTCAGGCAATGATGCAGCACTTCTGACTTTCTTGGCCCAGTCAAAATGGATGTGAGCCTAAAGTTGCCTACTTGCAAATAGCAAACGTGGCTCAAATATCCCAAAACAAATGTGGGACTTTTTGGCAAACATGTGAATCTCTAAGCAAAGTGTAATATTGATGTGACTCTAAATGTGGTTAATGGAGAATATGGTCCAAATAGTACAACACAAATTCGGGGCACCTTTGGCACCTTAGGTTGACATACGGTTTACTTGTGGCACCAGATCTGGCAAACAGGTGCTGACATCATTCCATGTGGTATGGGCCAGATAGCTATGTTTGTGTGAACCAAGACATTTTGCAATATGGACAAGCATGAATGCATTCTTTAAGATACCTCCTTTAATCAATTTATATCAGATGAGATACTGTATATCCAACTGCAAATTACACAATGTGTGTATTTTACAACTGCATGTTTTATACACCACAAACTGACAATTAAGTTTCACCCGTTTGACGAAATGTGTGCTTTTCACCATGAAGCCTATTGATAAGAACATTGTGTCCGTTTTCAAATGATATGATCTGTAATCACAGTCAACAACTTCATTGGAAATGGGGATTGTGATTATTTGACACTTACCATTAGGCACACAAGGCACATTGTCCTTATATCACTATATCATCTTCCTATAAGTGAAGTATTTAAGTTCTCTCAGATCCCACTCACACACCGATATGTGTTTAAAATTCAAGAGGTTGCAGATTACTTTATCCAGCCCATCTAGACAAAGATAGTTAAAGAAAAAGACATTAACTCGGGGGTCCTGCACTGAAAGAAAAAGAGAGGGGTTAGGGGGGGCAGAGTTAATAAGATTATGTCATTGTTTGCTTTAGTGCTCAGCTAGATGATGTGAAGATGGATAAAGCTTTGGTAATCTTGTTAAATGCCACACAGCATCAACTCAAACCTTAAAATCTCAAGTTATGATGGGGACAGAAAATCAGGGGAGATAAGATATTCTTTTTCACATTTACTTACTGTTTTTTACTGGATGCCTCTTTGCTGGTTACTAATTAACCCCACACACCCATTAAAGCCTGAATAGGTCCCTTCACTTCATCAGCTGAGGTGGCATATGGAGCCAGTTTCACCACAGCGCCCTCTCCTGGGAACAAAGTAGGTGCATCAGAGTGCATCAGCCATTTGTTCTTTTCATTGGAATCAGATGTTTGGTCTGTATGATTTCAAACCAAAATGCTTGAGGCTGTCGACCAATATATTTATTCATATTACCCGATTAAATGTCTATTTTCAATAGAGCGATCCCAAGATGCGTGTATAACAGTTATGTTTTTTTTAAATCCATGTGACTGTCATTTGTGCTTCCCGATAAATTGTAAAAAAACATTTTCTGACTCAATGAGAAAACTAGTTTTCACATTTGACTGTCTTTATATAACAGCAAATATGTGCACTATTCCTGCCATAGAGAGCAGAGAGCTTTCCCACATATATGACAGAAATGAAAGTGAAACATCAAACAACAAGCACCCTGTTATTGTTTTTATTCAACTAGGCTCATCTGCATATTCATTTATATCTCTTAATCTGAGCAGATGTATCTTCATACACTTGACTTAATTAATTTGGACATAAATGTTCCGCAGAGGAGACATATTGCACATATACATATTCTAATATTATCTATTAATACAATACTTTCATAAGGTATTAAATAATCAGGGAAGATATGTTAATAATGTTCTAATGTTTAATCATCTCATACTTTGTGCCTGCATTTTGTGTGTTACTGCAAATCCGCTGCAGTTCCCTCATCAGACACTGGATGTCCTCCGGAGACCACTCAAGCATTGAGCCCCAACCGACAAGAGTGGCCACCATCCCTGCAATAACACATTTTCAACCTGACACAATAACAGTATGTCACAGCCACTCATAAAACCCTTTCAGTCACTCAAGTCTTCCTACATTCACACCAGATACAGAAAGTCTGCATCAACGACAACAAGTGTCTGATCAGATTTCACCTTCCTCCTCCATTTCTTCTCTAAGTTCTCTTCCCGAACACCACACGGGGGCCTGACTTGGACCCCTGAGGTTCTGTAGAGAGGATCCAGATGGCGGGAGCTTTCCTGAAATCCCTGTCCATGTTCTTGTTCTCCTCAGCCCGAGCCATCGCCTCCAGCTCAGGTGAGGTCTCCGGGCACCAGTCGACCATGAACTTATCCTTTGCCTCGCAGTAGTTCACCACCACTTCTTCAGGCTGCTCCCCAAAAAGCCAATCTGGAACACAGAAACCGAGGGATGATGTGTAAAACATGGAGTGGTTGCTCTAACTGTGGAAAGCGACACTTTTTGTATTATCTTGTTTCATAAGAGTTGCAGATACAGTGACAAACCTGCACAGTCATGGATGAGGTCTTTGATGAGGTGCCCGATGATGGCATAGAGAACAAAAAACAGGATGAAGACAGCCATGATAAGGTAGAGGACATAGGAAGGCAGGTTGACGGCATCCCGAGATGGAGGTATGTAAGACTCGAAGAGCACAGTCCCATCTTCCTCCCTGAAGCGAGCGTTTAAGCTATCGGACGATGTTTCCATTGCCAGCGTCTTCAGATATCTGCCGTCAGCCAGAGGATATCCACTTAGCGACTCTGTGTCATCGCTGTGTTAAGAAGCCAACACACAAGGTTTCCTCTTACTCATCAATCCATGAAAACAGATACAAAATAGATCTGGAGGAAATATCATGTTCCCTGGACTTCAAGCATGTGTTCACAGAATTTCTCTTGTTGTTGCTCCAACAGCAAAGCTAGAAAGAAGCAGGTTAGGATCCCTCAGTTCATGAGGGTGTCTTGACACTCCTCAGGCTAAACACTACACTGAGCAAGCAGGTCTTTATCTCTCACTGTGATGGTACATGTTCAGGTTGTTTCCCTCCCTATCCCTTCGCTCATTGAGCTTCACATTCGAAAACTAGATTAGCTGTAGAGGCTTGAGGTAGTCAAGGTCAGAGGAACACTTAAAGGACAGCTTCCTGATGAGGGAAAGTATTCAAAGAGGATATGCACCAACCTATCTATCTATCTATCTATCTATCTATCTATACTTGGTGCGTCCATCATTACTGGCCAGTATCTAATATGGCTGATGTCGACTAATCCTTGGCATTTCTAAACAAGGTCACAGCCCCTGACCCAGCAGGTATTATAGTGAGGTAAGATGGATTAATGAAAGCAGACAAGACACAACAGCTCTCTTGTATTATTCACGTGTTTACTGGAGAGAAGCTTGGTCCAACACCAACAACAGGAAAACCGACATGTTTTTTCATGAGAAACAGGTTACAGCAACAAGTGTTAGCTAATGAGGGAGAGTGACAGATGTGCAAAAGGAACAGAAATGACCAGTCATGTGCAATTTAACAATAAATTCTTGGTATGTGATGGGAGGAATTAACATTCTCATTTCTATGCAAATTTAAAATGTCAAAATAAAATATATTTTGATACGTGACAAATTGGATGTTGAAAAGTAACATAATGCAATATAATTAAATGACTGACAATATGGACCACATTCACTTTTAATAATTATATTAAAGGCTTAAGCATCACTACAACAAAGACACAACACTGATCACTGCACATACATATGAGATGTGGCATCTAAACTACTTTGAATTTGAATTTGTGGAAAAACTCAGAGGGAAGTGACATAAGGGGCCAGGGGGCAGGCGAAGGTCACGCTATGATTAGATATCCTTTTTTCTCCAGGGTATGACAAAATGATGGAGGTCCTCAGCAAAGGAGGGGTGGATGGGTGGCGGCGGTCTCCGTCTTCTTGGTGGAAACCAGGCAGCCGCCCGTCCTTTTCCATCTCCATCCTCAGCACATCTCTCTCCCTTAGCTTACTGGAAACACTCAGGCGCCGCTCTTCTTCTTCCTCCGCTCTGCCTTCCTCTGAATCATCCTCCACCGGTTTGGGCCCAAGAATCCAATCTGTGATCAGGAGAAGAGTGAGAGTGAAAGAATGAAATGAAAGACGTGTCATGTGTGTTTTAAAAGGGAAATCCAAAAACTTTACAGATAAACTTCACTTTACTCATCATGGGGAGTCATTAGCCTGTGAAAAAGTTATAGGATATCTATATAAATAATTATTATTCTCATTATATAATAATCAATTTCTTCTATGGCTCTAGAAAACAACACTGAGTCATTTGTCTATATGTTGGTTATTATTATTACAGAAAAACTACCTAACTGATTTCGATAAAATTTTGATGGGCAATGACCCAAGAAAGAATCAAGTGAATTTTGAGTCAGAATAAGGAATATTTTTCCACTTTGAGATAGGGGGAGAGTTTTTCAACATTTTTGTTGATTTCTCTGAGGATAATTGATGGATCTTGATAAAGGGGATGGATATGTGTGGAATGTAGTACATATTAACGTGGTTTCATAAGGGGACGGTTGGACATTGGTGGAAGTATGAACTCTACTGACTGTTTTATATTATATAATTCCATCTGTGGCACTGTTAGACTTTTTTCATTTGTAAAAATAATAGTGCTGCAGAATACGTAGAGCCTCCATTTTTTACGGAGCCTGTGTTACAAACCGAAGCCTAATTTAAGTTGCTGTCGAATTTCATTGGGGGAAATAAAGGATTAAGTGATTTTTGCTTTTAGTGGAAGTGTATTACCACTTTCTTAAGCTTCTTTAGCAGCAGCCATTCACTCTTTTTTTCAGTCCTTGGTATCTATCTTAAATGGTATAACAGGAAAAGTGTTTCAGAAGGTCAAACACAGCACACAAACCTCAGGATAAAATGTGAAGGAGAGTCCTCAAGCAATACATTCACCAAAAAAGACAATGGAGGGAAAGACATAACGTTTCTACCACCTTGACCCCAGAGTGTTGGGTAAGGAAAGGGCTCAGTGACACCACACACATGAACACCGGAGTGGAGTAAGGCGAAGGAGAGGACACCAGGTTTACATGTACCTGCCAGGTCATGCATCAGATCTTTGATCAGGTGTCCCACTATGGCATAAGTGGCCACTACAACCAACACCACCCCAACTAGGACGTAGACTACATTGCGTGGAAGAGTGATGGCGTCTCTAGCTGGGGGGATATAGTCCACGAAATAGGCCTCCTCCTCCTTCCTCCTGGACAACTGCAGGAGCTGTCTATGCTCCAATGCCACATGTGAGAGGTTCAACAGCAGAGCTCCTCCTGGGGCGTTCAGGGACACGACTGGTGATTGGTTCATGGTTTAGATGGTTGGTATATTTTGACAGATAGAAACTCTCTTTTAATGAGAGGCTGTTCAGAGAAGGGGGTGTAACTTTGGGGTGGTTTCTCTGGCTGATGACAGATTCATTGTTTTGTTGAAGATCCAGCTCCTTCATTGGGAAAACGGGTGTCATCAGAGAGGAGGAGGGAGAGGAACTGAGCGTTAGAAGATTTATAACGTTCTCTGAAACTCAGAGGGGTGGCAGGACTGACGGACAGATGGAAATGTCAAGATGGTTAAAAAAATTAGAACATTGTTGCTGCGACAGAATAATACAAAATGTAGTTCACCAGACAAGGAAAAAAATCTCATAACATAAGTGTGCCACTTCTAATCTCTCGTCTAGACTTAAATCCCAGCACTCCTCTTTCTAGTTTTTTTCAGAGAGGGGATCCTTGGTCAAATTTCCAGTGGAGCAAGGAATGTGAGACGGAGGAGAGGTGAATATAGGACAGACACGGTTAATAGGATTGAGTCTTTCACAGAGCAATATCAGCTTTCCATCTGTAGGGATTAGAGATATGAGCGAGAAGAGGTGGATGGTAATATGCCAAAGAGGCTTATGGTCCTTCATGACCACATTGCATATAAATATATATGATACATATATTACAGTAAACCCAGTTTCTACTGGGTTTAAACTGGCATCACTCTGTAGATATATATATCATGCATTAAATCATATTAAACAGCCGGTTCTCCATAAATATCCTTTCACATAATTTCACTAATATGACACAATATTTCCATTGCTCATAACAGAGAAAAACTGCAATCTGAGCTTTGTGACCAGTAAATATTCTCAGGGGTCAGAAAATCCTATATTATCAAATATAACTTATGAAAGACTATCAACTGCTTTTCTAATATAAAAGTTGATAAAATGTTATGGAAGGAAAGAGATGACGCTGATGTTTTAGGACAAAAAGTCAACTCCTTACCTTGTAAAGACTCGAAACAGCTCCTCAGCTTTTTTCATTGACTTGGGCATTGACAGGACATCCAAATTAGCAGGTGTTGTAAACAGGCAGCTCTAGAAAACAAACAAAAACACATGGCCCACAGTTAAAGTCATGCAAAACAAAAGACTTACCTTAGCAGGTGGTCTCTTTTTAATAGCAAATAGACAAAATCCCACCATCCATGGTAGTGAGCAGGTGAACAGTGATCTTAAAATACACTTGTATCTGTTCAGATGTGGGCGGAGTGTCAGGATGTGCCGTAAACTGCTTCCTCTAAGCTTGAGACTCATCTTCCTTTCGCTTTTTTTGCATTTGACAAAACTGAGAAACGAGAAAGTGCCATTCTATGACGGTGATGGCGACGTTTGCAAAGAGAATGAACCAAGAAACTGGGTGCAGCCCATAATAGAAGTCATCCGTCATGTTGCTCAGAAAAGGAGATTTTTGGATGACTATCAAGGTTTGAGAAAGATAAATAAAAAGAGGTGAATGTTTAAGGTAAAAAAGCAGTGTGAGGTGTCTGAAGGTGTGTCTGGGTGAAGATGTCAGGAGGATAAGGCTGGATCTTCTGTGGTAATCCTGCAGGATTGACATGTACCACCGTCACCAGGGACACCGTTTCACTGACTCAGCAGATAAGCAAGACAGAAGATGGAGCTCTTTTAGCATCACCTGAGGAACCTGCTGACTCTGTGTAGTGCAGTTAGAGGCATGGATTTACACTGTAAACCCACAAATACTAAAACCAGAAAATCCACAGAGGATAAATCATAAAATTCACTGTATTTTCATGTGGCAAAAGTTTCAGATACTCTACCTGTGAGAAGGATTCCCGTCTCATTTATTGCATTCACAAATTTTTTGAGTTTCGCATTTGGGGTCTTGTTCTTCTTCAGGTGAAATATAAAGCAGACTAACGGCTCCACAGAAAGCACAACAAGCTGAACTAGTCCGAAGCAACTAAAAAAATAAAAAATAAAAAAAAGTCACTCAGTGAAGTTGGTCCATATTGACAGTGACTCCCTCAGGCCGGGGTGACCACCTTCTTGGGTTTGTCTTCTGGCTCCAACATCCACTTGAAGTAGGCATCTCCCAGCAGGAAGGTCCAGTAGATGACAGTTAGGGAGGTGTTTACGGTCATGATGCCGATGATTAAAGGGTGAAACATGGTGAAGGAGTGAAATCTTGAAAATCTGTGTCACCTCAAAATGAAAAAACCTGTCAGCTGTGTGGGCGAAGGGATTGTCAGTGCGTCTGATTGAATCTGTCGGCTCCCACTCTCTTCATGAACTCCCCACCCCTCTCTACTCTCTCTTTCCACTGGTCACTAAGTTTCTGTGGCAACAGCAGCATAATCCTCTTCAGCCGCTTTGTCGCAGAAGATAAAGTTGCATTAGATGAAGGCCTGCTTTACAAATGTTGTTCATCCATAAGAGGCAGTTGCATAATGCTGCTGATCTGCAGTAAATAGAATAGTGTGAGCCAATATTATGCAAAGACACTAACTAGAACTATAACAATAATGATTAGTTTTAATCAAACACCCTGACAGCAATAAAACAATGTAATCTTTGTTCTGAACTGTATGTTCCATCTCACATATAATCCGAAATTTAATCAAGCCTGGAGACATTAGATTTAGCTGTTCTTAATCTTACACCAAATCGGACAGATGGCTCCTCAAGTGAACCCCAGGGGCCACAGGGGCCTAGAAAATACTTCAACCTGTGCAATATGACAAGGATTTCTTTTTTCTTCTATTTTCCTTGCCAACTCATCTAATAATCCTAGAACCCTAAAAAAGACAGAGTGCAAATGCACAGAGGACTAGGGGGGGGGAAGCTGCCACCAGCAGGCGGCAGTGTGTACCAGCTGCACTGTGAACATGTATTAACCAAAAGGTGTGTCAGCAACACGTGGGATCACCTCGCATTAAGTTCAAAATGAACATCAGCCAACAGATATCAAATCAAGAATGTAGAGCCAAATGCCTAATTTACGCATGACGCACGGCCCAACAGTCCATTGTATGACTGTTCGCTGCGTTTCCTTTAAATTTCCACCCGGTGGTCGTGACTCCTGAGTTGAACTTTGAGACCTGCAGACAACGCTGGAACGAGCAAGTGCGTTGTTTCTTCACGGATCAAAAGCCAACGAGTGACGCTCCTTTTTAATTGTCTCCTTACCTCAACAAGCAGTGGAGAGGACGCTGGCTCCTAACATGCCTCGTTCTGGTTCTACCGCCAGTCACCGCGTTTAACTGGGGATTTTTCGCTCTGAACATTTCAAACATTACATTTTGAACAATGAGGCCGCCGGTGGAAGTCTCCGTGTTTCTTCTCTCTCTCTTGGCTCCTGGAGTTTTATACACGTTGAACAACATCCCTGCGCTCCAGGAGTAAGTGTGTGTGTGTGTGTGTGTGTGTGTGGCCTTGCACAGGAGAGCTTGTGATAGTTACAGGCTTGAGAACAGGCCCATAACCATCGACACAGAGGGTTCTCAACATTAACAAGATAGTCACAGAGGAAAGATAGACACCGTCCTACAACTCTCATTATCCAAAGCATGTTGATCCTGAGCCAACCTCGTTTAGTCACTGAAAAACTGCACTATTCTAACAAGAAAATAAAATAAAGAAACGATGATTTTAAGAAAATAGAGACAGTTAAAACTACTTAACTATAGTAAATTGATAAAGTTGAATTTAAGACGTATAAAATGAAAATATGACCCAAATTCACCTGTTGTCTGCATGTGCCAAAATCAGTGCAATAGAGTTCCACTGGAAGGTAAGAATTCAAACTGTGATTCTTAATTTGTTTATACAAAATAGTTTTGTTACATCGAGTGTTAGATATGGTGTCGAAAAGGAAATAACAGATAATAGAGTTAATGAAATGGTTTCCAGGATTAAAGCTTTTCTCAATTACTCCTCATCTTTTCCTGATGGAAGTATCAATGTGAATGATGAATTGTACATTCTAGTAAAATTGGTGCTGCAACCAACGATTATTATTTTCCAGATTCATTTTATGAAAACGTACAAATCATAGAATAATTGTCTGTGATAACTTCAAGAAGCACAGGGTGAATTATTTAACACAATGTGTCTAAAAGACTAAAGACTCCAATCCTCACAAGTGAGAATCTGCAACCAGTGAGTGTTTGGTATTTTAAAAATACCTGCATGAAATTGAAACTGACAGAATAGTTACTGATGAATATTCTGTTCTGGGTTCTGGACTTGGGCAGATAAACTAATGAATTAACTCTCACTACTGCCTCCATCCCTTTGTTTTTCCCCCTAAGACCTCTACCTATCCTGGGGATGGGACTGGTCGTCCTGGGATCTGTTCTTCTCCTCCTCCTCCTCACTGTGCGACACAAGATAAGAGTGGACCCTTTATTCTACGGTACAGTCGAATACACACACATTCAAATGTGTGTCAGTGGTTGGAGTGTGGAAGCAGCAGTGTGCATGTTTGTTGTGTTTCTACAGCGTTCGCAGAGTTTTCCTTCACCTGCATGGTGGGACTGACGAATGCTTTAGAGCAAGATGGGCTCATCTCTGGCTTCATGGGCTTCTATCTAAAGATGGTAAGAGAACTTACAAATGGGTCAAAATGTCAAATCATCACACACACACATTAATGACATTTTTCATGCTTATTTGGTCGCAAGAGAAACCTTGAATTGAATGTGTATTGACAAGTCCCCAGAAAGTACAAATTCTGGGAGCTTATTTCTTCCTAAATTGTGATCACAAACATGAATTTTCATTTCCGTAGATTTCTCATGCGACCAAATCAACCAAATTTAATTAAGATCTTTGATGATTAGACCTGGGAAAACCAAATTCACTTTTCCTGCCACCTTCTGAATGACCACCTCCTACTGATGGCTTCTTTTCCATGTGTTTATGTGTCAAAAGTAAAACTTTAATTGCGATTGAGCTTCTGTCTCTTCAGGGTGAGCCTCATCTGATTACTGCCTATGCTGTGATGATGTCTTACTGGGAAGGCGTCTTTCACTTTGTCCTCTTCCTCTTTATCATCCACCGCATGTTTAAAGGGTAAGCTGTCCCATCACCACCATCTGTGATTATCCGCTGCATGTATACAGAGGTACCTTGATGAAGTTTGTTGTTGTCCTGTCCGCGCAGGAAGTCCTATCGAAGCCTGGGCCTGCTGTGGACGGGCTCCTCCATCGCCCACCAAATTGTTCTCATCCCAGGAGTGGTTGTCGGTGAGGGCTGCTTGAATAAACACTGTCTTTCTCTGAACGGTATCTATGTCACGGAGTGTTGTTTGAGAGCATTTCTGTTGATCGTGTTCACGTGTGCAGGTAAATACGGGTCTAACATTCGGCCAGCCTTTTGGAGGAACCTCCCGTTCTTCGTGGTGCCTTTCTGGGCTGCGTCTGTCCTCTTCAGCAGACACAGAGAGATGTCAGTTGTCACAGCAGACAAGGTGAATTTCAATTAGTGAGACATTTACAATATTCTGAATATCTATTAGAGGAGTGTCCTTTTCCTTTAGAGATAAATTTAATTGAACTGTTGTCAAAGGTAAAACTATATGACTTAAATCTCATAATAATATTTGATATACAGATAAGGACACATATTGTTAGTCATTACTCATCTTTGTTTGTGTTTCCTCCATGTTAATATCCTGCCTGCATCAGTGGGTGGAAGAACACAGAGCACCGTGTAAATGATGGAAACATTGCCCCAAAGGCGTCAACAAAATAATAATACATACATTATATATCATCATATTGCACACATATTTCATTATTACTGACGGTGACCTGTTATTGATGATAATATAAATTCAATAAGTAGATTAATTGACCTTTTTTTGTTTATCTACATACACATTTGAAAAGGATCCTTCAAATTAAGATGCATGAGCTGAAGATTTGTCTTGGCCTCAGACTTTATTATGACAGATGATATGAACAGTAAATATAAGGTGCCACAATTTCTTAGTTTTTAATCTTGATAATAAATAGTAACTATAAATAAAATAATGAATAAATATAAATGAAAACCCACGTTGTGTACCCACATTAACTGAGAATGCCCCGTGTTGACTAGATTGCAGCAGAGCAGAAGAAAAGTCTGCTGTTCCGGCCGGTCGACCTGCTTGTGTCACTTCTCTTAATGGGAGCCATGGCCTTCTCAGTTTTCAGAGGCTTTGTGAGTAAAACCACACATTTCTTTTCAGTGTCTCTGCCTCTTATCGCACTTGTTGAGATATAAGTTAACGTGTCTCTGTTCCAGGTGGTGCTGGACTGTCCCCTGGACACCTGTTTCACCTACATCTATCAGTACGAGCCCTACCTCAAAGACCCAGTCGGCTTCCCCAGGGTTATGGTCAGTCTGAAGACAGAATTAATGAAACGAAATATATTGTACATCTTTGCTGAAATTGATAACAGATTTTTGTGCACAATTCTTTCAGATGCTGGTGTATTTATTCTACGCTCTGCCCCTGATGACTGTCTTCATCTATGGTCTGAAAACACCAGGGTGCAGCTGGATGTTAGACTGGACCATCTTCTTTGCTGGAGCCATGGCTCAGGTAACTGGTTATTATGCATTTGCAGTTTTTCATATTCCTAGAAAAAGCAAATTACAACATATAGAGTCTAACATTGGCTTCCTCCTGCTTCTCTGGCTCCCTCTCTCCAGACCCAGTGGTGCCATATCGGCGCATCTCTGCACTCCCGCACTCCCTTCACGTACCGGGTCCCTGCTGACAAATGGTGGCCTGTTATCACCCTCAACGTACTGCTGGCTGTGGTGCCGGCTCTGCTGGCCCTGCGCTGCCACGCCAGCCCCACCTTTTTTATGAAACCTGTCCCCAAGGGACAGACCAACAACGAGAAGAAGAAAAACTAAACCTCACTCCAGCCACGGACTGTCGAGGAATACGTCATGCTATGACAAGGCTAATGTTTTCTGGGACTCTCTGTTGTGCACAAACTGCTTAAAACACCCAATTTTTCAACCTTAAAACCCAGAGAAAGTCTACAAACATCCGTCACCTGGCGCAGCACTCCCTGCATGGACTATTGGACCCCTGATAAGAAAGCAGTTGATGAAGTAGAGGGCTGTGATCATCTCGCACAGCTTTCAGGTGACTCATGCAGATACAGAGATGGTATCTATCCAAACTGAGACAGTTAACCTGAATATATTGGTCAGCAACACACCACCAGAGAGTGAAAGTCTTATTATATATTTTCTATGCAGAAATCTACAACAAAACTCCACAGCTTTAAGTTTGTTTGTACTGGGTCAGTGAAAAGTAAAACTACAGAGTATAGTAACTAAAATAGTTTGTGATAAGGGAGATGGCAGGAGATGTTGTCACTGCACCGATCAAGTTGTGATTGATTGATTAATAATTGTGTCTATAAAATGTCAATAAATAATAAAGAATCAAAGTTTCCTACAGTCTCAACAGTACAAATCTTTAGGTTTTCATCGATATAGAAATAAGAGAACCCGCTAAAGAACCTGAAATGAGAAATGACTGTTTTGGTAATATATAATTAGCTCTGTTCAACTCATAAATTGATCAGCCAATCATTCTTATTACCTCAGTGTCTCGTAGTTTACTTTATTTTGTCCAATAAAAACAAATGGTGCCATATTGTTGAGTATCTTAGTTCATAAATCTAACATCTGCTTTTCTCCACCAGCTGAGCATTTTGGTGGTTTAATAAGATGTTTCCTCAGAGGTCAATATTGTCCCCTCCATCTGATGATGTCATCATGCCCTATGTGCACTGAACTGCTGCTGTTGTCAAACTGATAAACAGTGAACCCGGGTCCAGTTCAATTGTGACACATGACTGCAACGCAAATTATCACACGACACACTGCTCAGTGCTGGTACAAACATTTTGTCTTTTAGAGTTTCATCCATGGATCTGTGTGTGACAGAAACATTCTAAACACAACAGCACTGTCAAAAAATAGTGCACTGTAGGATGTGTTCATGATGTCAGTTTAAAATGTCAGCATTCTAGAATGTCATTATTAAGGTTAATGTGAATGCCATTAATTTAGTATTTTTTGCTATAGTTTAGTGTTGTGTGGAACTTTGACCTGAGGGGGGCACTGGTTCATACCAGTTCACACAGTTCATACTGAGGGGGAACATCTTATATTGGTCCATATTTGACATTGCAGTCCAAACCACAAGAGTCAGCCTCAGGTGGCAATAGAGGAAAGGTTTTCATATCGAGTCATAAGGATACAACCTCTGGGCATCATGTGTCTATGTACAAATTTACATTGAAATAATTAGATAAACATTAAGATGCTTCACTTGATAAATGAACAATCTGCTTTCTTATTGGTGCAATGGGAAAAGTCAATGGATAAGATATCTGAATTCATCCTCGGAGGAAGATGAGTATCAATGTAAAATTTTGTGGCGGTCATTAAATAAATATTAACATGTTTCACTTGATCAGTGAAAGTGAAATGGGAAAAGTCAAAGGATAAGCCAAGATGTCTGGATTCATCCTCACGAGCATCAATGCAAAATTTGTGGTTGTTGTGACATTTATGTAGAAGAGAATAAGAATCAACAAATGTTAACTTTTTCTCACTTTATTAAGAATGAAATACAACAGCAGGACAAAAAGTCATAAGAACACCAAAAAAGTGGATGACCGATCAAATATCAAAAGGACCAAAGACAAACAAATTGTGACATTCTACCCATCATGTAAATATAGCCGTGCAAAGATTGAAAGTATTTAGCAATTCAGATACAATCAAGTGGTTATCTCGAGAGTGTACGGTATAATCCCATCTAAACTAACTATGTCAACGGGATATATGCTTTAGTTTAGAGTGCTTATGGAGAGAGGGGGGTCTATTTGATTGGACAAGGTCCAGCTATTGATTAAGGATCAGCCAATGACATAACACCACAATATTTACAATACAGAGATTAGAGGCTATCAAATGATTAACTTTGTAACTAATTGATTGTTGGACTTATATAGAAAAAAAATGATGTTACATTGGCTTTTTGAAATATAAGTTAAAAAAGGAAAGTATATCACTTGAGCAATGATTTATAATAAATAGCAACATACACAAACATAGTAAAAAGCATGTCAGTAGATTAAGACAGACCAGCTATTCAATAACTCTATGGGAGAAAAAAGCAACAGCTACAGTACACACATAAAAATCTCAGGGTTACCAGGGGCTGAACGCTGTCTTGCATCAATTACATCTGTGCTTTGTAAACAGAAAACTAGGACGAGAGTCATTTTTCATGTGGGACAAGCAAACTTTTACAAAAGAAAACCTGACTCAGCACATGCTCACACACTGCTGTCAGTCCGACAGACCCAGAGAGGTGAAGGATTTACTGTACTGGGGGTGGGTGTTAATACAAGTTAGTGTAGGAGTTAGTGTTCGCATGGACCTTGGTTAAAGGAAGCAGCGTGAAAACAATAAGAGGCATCAAAAACACCCAAACTCAGTGACAGGGTTATGGAGATAAACTTTATGTTACAGTAAGAAAACCTTATTCGTCAGCTAAACGGAGAGCATGGTCAGAAGCAGGAAAGGAAAACAGGAGGGATGTGGACTACTGTCTTTTATTTATGGGCCATGGTTAGCACCTAGGCATAGCAGACATGTGTTATTTGGTTCAGTAGGAGCTGTTTGCGTCCTCTCTGGCCTTGTGCCCGTCTCCGCCGTGTCTCCTGTGGCTGCGGCGCTCGCGGTGCTGATTGTGGTGGTGGCGTCTGTACCGGTGTGACCGCCGGGCTGAAAGTAGAATGGGTCAAATTATTTGTACTTTTCAAGTCAAATGTTAAATTAATGGTTTTTAACCATTGATGAATCCCATTTAAAACTGGCCAATATATTTAGTGATAATAAAGACACTGTTTTCCAAACAGACCTCAAACATTGTTTTTCTGTCATGCAAGTTCTTCATGACATCAATTCCACATGATGTTGGAAACAATTCTTTAAATTCTCCTCCATGCCGACACAATTTCATTGCAGAATTTCTGCACGTCCAAGCTAGCAATCAAGTCAAGGTGATGGATGAGGATGAGGGGGAATTTAAGTACATTGTTAACTTTGTGACACAACTTTTGCTTTGTGATTTGGTGCATTATTAAATTGGAAATAGCTTTGAGAAGATTGTGCATTGTGGCCTGCACATGGTCTGCTACAGTCCTCCAACAGACTGTGGATTTAAAATAGATTGATTGGTATTAATGAGCCCAATGTGTGGGAGAAAACATTCCTTCACCATTAAGCCATTATCAGCACACACAAGGCGGATTGGGTTCGTGGATTCCTGCCATTGATGCCAATTCCTAACCCTACCATCTGCAGCCTCGGCAGATTTGGCCGACAGGGCTAAGATTCTAAGTCTTAAACTGTCTTTTCATGAAAAACAGACACTCACACTTTGTGCAGATGATCCTGGGTCTCTCCCAGCTCCCGTCGGCCCTGCAGCGAGTGGTGGGGATGTGACGCTGGTAGAAGCCTTCGGAGCACTGGTAACGCACCACCGAATGGATGTCATAGTGTGACCTCCGGCGACCTATCAAATGGGCATTCTCCACTGTGGGCGGGGTCCCACACAACACTGAAAATAATTGAATTCAATCATAAATCATGCAGATAGAAGGTCATACATACATAACATAATTTCATTTACGATAATAGTCTACGCTTCCACTTCATTCATCTGTTATGTAAAAATACCGACATAGGGGAGGTATAAAATGCAGGTATTAAAGGCACAGTATTACAGTGTGTTTTGCCTGTAGATGGCAGCATTGTTGCTGCATCTGCTATTTGAGCTGAGCGGTGGTGGGTCCAGAGGGAGGTACTGGGTCTCTGCGGTCCACAGGGAACACAGCCAAACCACAGAGCCATGAGACCACAGCCAGACTAACAAACACTCCCCAGCCACTTAATCCTTTCTTTTCTAACTCCTCCTGGTCGTCCACTGTGTCTCCCTGTCTTTAGCTCTCCTTGCATCCTGTAAGATCTCACTGCATCTCCACATTCAGGATGACTGAGTGGCTCGCAGCAGGAAGGTGAGTTAGAGGAAAACTTGGTGAAGACACTCAGAGGAATTACAGATTGTGTTGGATGAAAAATATCTGTAACAACAGTTCCGCTGCCTGGTCGAAGTGGAAGTGAGACCATGAAGACTTGAGACTGAATCACAAGCTTCACTTTGTTGTTGGTCTGTTGTGAGCTTTAATGGAGAAAACTTGTGAGTGCTGTTTTATAGCACTCACAAGTCTGAGCAACTTTGTGATTTCTACATGAAGAGTAGAAGAGCTGATGATGAGCAGCGATGACTAGCAGGTGACCAGCTGGTCTGCAAGAACAAATCTCTGCTGATGAATTGATTATTAAAATCTGAGTCATAATGTACTTGAGGTTGTCAAACAGGGACAGACAGAAGTCGTTGTTTATGTGCAAGTTTTTTAAAATTATGGACTAATTAAGGACTAGTTTGTTTTTATGCGAGTGCAAGTTTGGTTACATTGGGTTCAGCAGTATTGCAGTACCTGTGCCTTTCTTGCAGATGTAGGGCAGGTTGTAGTTGCAGGGCACATCGTTCCACTTGCCATCCTCATGGGCAATGGTCACCACACAATCCTCGCCACCTGCAAAGAAGTTATCCGGCTGGCTCTCCCTCCAGTTCTCATAAACCTGCGCAAGAGCAAACAACACAGTTCAGCTTACACTGGGGCACGAATTTTTCTGTCCAAATCTATCCGAGAGAGAAAACTAACCGAGCACGAAAAGGCATTCTGCATTCATAAGCAGAAAGCTGTTAATATAGATCAGCCAAAATGTCCTCTGGACCAAAAGCACCTACAAATACTCACTGTTTGTGTTTTGAGTGGAGAAACATTTGACTCATCTGATAAAAGAAACTAGTCCGAGTATAAACGGTGAACAGCGATCTGCAGTCTTGATTAGCATATCCGCTGTCTACACCCCAAGTCCTCAGAGGCTAATTCATCATCAGACAATAGCTGAGAGAGATCATCTTGTCCCTGACACACATGGTTACTGCTTGTTTTACCTGATTACAGACTGTGCTGTGTGAAAAACCAACCAAGCCAATGTGACCGACCTAGCCTGAACCTGAATCCCTGACTGGATTAAAGAACCTGAATGACTTCAATTTCTCAGTACACTCTGTTTTTAATTTTTGCTTAAAGCTAAATAAATGCTTTTGCATATAAATGGAAACTTTTAAGCTTTTAAGGTCCTTAAGACTTAATATTTTTACATTTGTTTTTTATTGTGGACAATGTAGTCCTTCATGAAGACAAATGTTTTAACAGTTTTGTCTTGTTCATAACAGATTTCTAGTAAATCAAGTAAATCTTTATCTGAGCTCTTCTTCCTGTCCCATCTGATCCAACCGCTGCGACACAGACTATTATAGATCATTTGAGTTTCAGGGTTTTTAATTCTTATTTCAGCTTTGATTTGTTCTTATTTTATGACCAATCTTATCAACAAGACAGTTTCTGGTGATGTGAAATTTTCACATGGCAGCACATTTAAACACACTGATCACTAACCAGATCGTTTCCATCAGTCCACTGAAAGTCCTCCTCCACTGTG